TTCATCTGGTTAAGCAGCGAGGGAAATGGCCAAGTATGGGATGGAAAGGGAAGCATTCCAGCAGGGACTGTTTTCACCAAGATGTTGCTTATGATGGATGGGTACAATCAAGTGCAGTGATGGGAAACCTTGGTATGTTTCCTTGGCTACTTGTCGCGTCGTCAGCAGGAAGGATGGGATCATATGACGTGAATACGACTGAGGATGAAGATGGATGAGATGGGATGAACGAAAGGGTTTATATCTTTGACGAAGGAAGGTGTTTTACAGCCATGGATGGTATTGGTATACTCGAGTCAATGAATACAGCAGCTATTTTGCAATCATCGAAAGAAGGATGCTCACAACGGCAGCAACCAAGAATACAATGACACCATTATCCTTGTTCCATCTATGTGATTCACCCATACCTTTTTCAATTTGCCATACTGTTCGTTTATCACTATATACTATTCTTCAACTTGTTCATTGAATGAAAATCTGATTCATAGAATTTGAGTACCATACTATCAGCTCATATGGGAATGATGCGGATCACTTGCTTAGTTTCTGGATTGGAAAGGAGGAAGAGAAATTGAAGGCTGAAAGCGAGGTGGAATCATTTTCATAATTGTATCAAGATGCTTTTGTTATTTCGTCACTACATTCGTTAAAGCTTCCTGCTTCACAAGCTAATGGATGAAAGGAACCTGGGATCCTCGAAGGCTTGTATTGCAAAGATAACAACTTCATGAGTGATGATGCCCAACATCGTGCTTGCTACGTAAGCTTGGCTCATTGCAAGCTACTACTTGATCCATTTATATTCCAGAAAGAACCGGGATGTGTCGTATTTCAAGTACCAATAGCATCAACAAGTACAAGATGACAAGCCATGGTATTACAGCGACCACACTTATCCCGCAAGAGGACACATTCAAGGTTCACCACACAATGGGACCCATCATCTCCTGTATCTCCAACATCCTCATAAGTACATAAACCCTGTCTCCATATAGTATCGTCACACAACCATCATAGAAACCTATATGTGCATGTTGTGGTTGTAGCTGGTAACACATCTTTATTTTAATCTTGACATTGAAATACATATATCGATTCTCAACGTACTTTCACTCTCTCTATCATCTTCTTTTTATATGTAATATCTGTGGTAGTAGTGATAATATAGGCGACAATGATGAGGGTATTGGTAATGATGATAATGCTGTTGTTGTCTCTGGCCGTTGTAGGAGTCTTCTAGGACGTGCGATAGGCCTTAGTCTATCCTCTTGTTTGATGGGCGAGAGTGTGGTTGCGGGTGGCATTGGAGGTTGTGTGGCGGTGATGGTGGCGGTCTTGGAAGTGGGGGTGGTGGATTTCCACTTTGTCTCTGCCATCGAAGGCGACTTCGAGGGCGTGAAAATGGCCCTTGGAACTGTAATCGTGATCGCCTGTTGTTGCTGGTGTCACTTCTTGGATATATAAAATTGGTGGCTGCGGTGGTGGTGGGTGATGGCAACGGTGATGCCATTGCGATGCCGGCAGGTCTTGGGCTTGGGCTCAGAGGAATCTATGTCCTCTATAAAAGTAAAAAGATTGGCTTAATATGAAATCACGCCATTTGGTATCAATCCCAACATGTAATGCACTTACCATTCTCTACGGCTCTTCTGGAGTATCAGGGATTGCATATGGGATATCGGTATCACGCTCATAGATATCGAGCATATTAAAAGCTTCACCATTTCACCTATAAAGAATAAATCAATTAGCATCAATGTATTGCCAAAAATATGTACCTTTCATAAAAATACTTACAGAGCTCGTCTAGGGACGATGATGTTGTTGTTGCTGTTGTGGTAGTAGTAGCAGTATTCTTTGGTGCCGGTAAGCCGTACACATGCTGCATGGCTTTATGCGTAGCCATTCCTTGAAGCAACTTTTGTTCATTACTGTTGATGCGGTGTTCTTGATGCATATGGCAATGACCACTGGTGGTACGCCGTATTGCTTAATCATTTGGAGGCAGTGTTCATTTATGCGTCTATAGAACTTCATATCGATGTTGTGCTGAGAAACCGATATAACACCCCAAGCAGGCTGTAGTACAATATGCCACCTAATCCAACTTTTCGGAGGCAGCTACAATATACCGGACACAATATGTATATGAGCATATGGTTTATCAAGCGAGGCCATTAGGTCTTACCTTATCAGAAGCGGCAAATATCGCAAGTGACAACAAGGAAAATGGAAGTGCAAGGACAACAATGAGACGCTAAAGATCATCACAGGTATTAGCACATGGATCGCTTACAAAAGGACTCTCAATCATAATACTCACCAAAGGACCTTGGAGTTGCCAGCAAGGAAGCAAGGATATGATGGAAAGAAAGAGAGATGTGTGGGAGAAAACCGATGGGCGGCAACATTCATCTTGTTTATATCTGCATCGGTGGGCGTGGGCATTTCTGTGACCACAAAGAGTGATAAATCGTCCGTTGAGAATGGTGATGAGCTGATAGATTGATGAGAAAGCCTTGGTGTGATTGATTGTGGATGCATAAATCAGGATCTGAGATGGACAAGGTCATCCAACAATGGCATCGCTCCAATTACTTGCTGTGTTCAAGTTCCACAAAATAAGATGCTGTTCGAGGATGTCGCTGTCAATAAGCACTTGTGGCAGTCCACCATATCGAGTCAATGCAAATTCATAGACAACATTGGATTTCATGCGATGAGCGAAAGGATACAGCCTTGAACTAGAAAGTCACTCTATTAGAAACATTCCCATCGTAAAAGATCCATGCATAATATCTTACAGCTCCATGGGGCCAATCCATAATACACAGTTCTAAGCAGGCTGTTGATCTCATGAAAGGCCGCCTCAAATGTGAAATAATGAATGGTTGCAAGCCGCATTGGAATGGTGGAGAATCATCACCTGTCTCG